AGTGTTTGATTTTGCAAAGGGACACATTTCTGTTTAGCCAAAGTGAGCAGAGATGCCTCGTACTTGTGTGAACAGTGCAGATAACTTCTGCTATGTTTGTGGCGAAGTGACTTTTGCATCACAAAAGCTCAGTATAACGTTGCAACATGTCACTAAAGATACATTTTTTGCACTCTCATCTAGATTTTTTTCCACCAAACTGTGGAGCAGTGAGCGATGAGCACGGCGAGCGATTTCACCAGGACGTTGCAACAGTGGAGAAACGCTATCAGGGCAAATGGAGCCCATCAATGCTTGCAGACTATTGCTGGACAGTGACAAGAGATGCTCCATTTAATGAATACAAGAGACAAGCCAAGAAGCGCCGAGTAGACACTGAATAGGACTAAACTATGTACATAACAGTTTTTTGCTTTTTGTTTCATAATAAATTTTATTTATATAACCCTTTTGCTGATTTTTAAAGTGTTACATAAACAGGACAGGTGAAATATTATCATGTAAAGCAACCATAAACACAGGAAAAGACCTAGGTTTACAATTTATGATTAAAACTCTGCTATCTACACAATATACATAGACATAAAATGTAAAAACTTAAATATCTTAGAAACAGTAGCCAATCAGTTGTTTTAATTGTCATATTTGAATTCAGCACATCAAAATACATAATAAATAGCACATTTTATCTCTGAAGCAGACAACTTCTCAAAAACTGTAGACCAGTGTAATTAGGCTACAATCGTGCTATGAAATAGGTAAGTATGATTATACCCTATTTTAGATCACATTCACTGCAGTTTTTTTCTATCAGCAGCACAATGTGTTGAACTAGGTGATGCACTAACAAACTATGAGTACTGAGCTTGTTTTTAGTTCATGGATGTGCTGGGAATTTGCATATAAACATGCATATGCATGTAACGTCATTCCTCCACTCTGCAAGTTCAAATCATATGAGCCAGTGGAAAGGTTTAGAATATGCAAGAGTCCTTCCAAGGATACATGATTCTTGTAAATTTCCAGAGGGCTCACCAGACTGGGGGGGAAGAGCAGCAGTATAGTGGATGTATGCACAGGTACACATGCATCATAACTCAAACCCACGTTGGAGGTGCAATCTTAGACCTTAAAAGGAAACAGATACATTTAAAATCACCATTTAAAAACAATCCAGTTCCTAATCTGTGTTGCTGCTAACTCCAAAGACTACTGAAACTTGAAGAGGTTTAAAAATGTAGCTTAACTTAACCATATTATTATTTATATCTGTAACCCACCCACTTCCCGGGTGTGGTGTTCTGTCCCATCTAGTGGCACAGAGACAGAGAGAGATTGAGTTTGCTCTACAGCCTTAGCTAACAGCCAGTTAGCTTTTAGTTCATGTGGAGGCAGCTCATGCACTACGCTCCAGAGGCCCCAGGTTCGATTCTGCCTATCAATGACTGGGGTCTGTTGGTGTTACATTGTATCACTGTAAAGCAGAGAGGCCCCACCAAAGATCAGAATCCCACTGTACAAACATATAGTAAGAGAGAGTCTCTTTACCTTGAAGAGTTTACAATCGAAGGGGAAAAGACAGGCAAAGAATAGGAGGAGAGAATTATTTTACAGATGGGGAGCCAAGGCAGAGAGAGAGAAATTGACTTACACACAATCACCCAGACAGGGTTGAGAACTGAACCCAAACTTACAGAGTCCTCATCCAGTGCCTGAGCCGCAAGACCAAACTTCTCGTGTTCATCTGCTGTTTGTTTACCATTTCTATTTCATTCATCCAGCACAATATGAAAAGGGTGATCACTCTAATTTATATCCAGTTCACCTTCTGGGCAGGGCTGGCTCCAGGCACCAGCCGACCAAGCACAGGCGCTCCGGGGGGTTGGGCGGCTCAGCGCAGCACTCGGGGGGAGTGGGGGTTTTGGCAGCCTGGCGCGGCACTGGGGGGGGCGGGTACGGTGGCCTGGCGCGGC